TGTGTGTGTGTGTGTGTGTGTAAATATATGTACATATATATACATATATATGCATAAAAAAAAAAAAAAAATATATATATATATATATATATATATATATATATATATATATATATATATATATATATATATATATATATATATATATATATATACCTGAGGATGGAATCCAGGTGTATTCCGAAACTTTCGTCACACTTTCATTTTCAATAATTCTAGTTTTACATTGTGGGTTTTTCTACCATACATATATGTATATAATTACAATATCATGATTACTTACGTTCTACAACATCTCCCTTGAGGGTCTTAGTAAAGACAGGCTTGGGCGTTCCGCCTGGAGTGAACGGAGCTGCGGAAAAGTAGGCAGATGTAAAATAATTGAAACATGACTACATGCATTTAAAGTACCGACTACTAAACCGGCTGATGAAAGCACAATATTCTTATTTCATCATTCAAAACCCATATCTAAAGGAATACTTACTAGTTGGTTCCTGCATTTTGTGGGGTGCTGGAGTAGCAAGCTTCGCAAGAGGGGCTCTGGTCTGAACTTCGGGTTTAGGAGGTTCCTGCTTCGGTACCGCTGCTGGTTTGGGAGGCTCAGGCTTAACCTCTGCTGGTTTGGGAGGCTCAGGCTTAACCTCTGCTGGTTTGGGAGGCTCAGGCTTAACCTCTGCTGGTTTGGGAGGCTCAGGCTTAACCTCTGCTGGTTTGGGAGGCTCAGGCTTAACCTCTGCTGGTTTGGGAGGCTCAGGCTTAACCTCTGCTGGTTTGGGAGGCTCAGGCTTAACCTCTGCTGGTTTGGGAGGCTCAGGCTTAACCTCTGCTGGTTTGGGAGTCTCTACCTTAGCTTCAGTTGGCTTGGGAGGTTCAGGCTTGACCTCAGCTGGTTTCGGGGCCTCAGACTTTGCTTCAGCAGGCTTCGAAGGCTCAGGTTTGTCCTTCGGTGTCTGTAGAAAAAGTTTATCTAGATTAGAGTTTCTCCATCAACAATATTACAACCGGCGTGAGTGTTTCGGGGTATTTGCAAATCATAATTTCCGTTTATTTAGGGAGTGATTCACATTTGAAAACGATTAATATTTACAAAATAGCACGTTCTTTTAGTGTTGACTTTTAGGGTGTGGATTGAGAGCAATTCCCTATTTGTGTATTTTCTTACATTTCAGAAAATTGTATTTTTTATTAAAAACAAAAATCTTAATGGGCCCTTTCCCAATGTTTAGTAAATTAGTTATGTAGTATTTCTCCAGACGGGTAAAACTTAACTACTGTCATTATTCTCAAACTGTGTCAGGCATGAATTTATTGTAGTAATTGTTAATATTGGTGTTAAGATATTTAAGTGTCGCAACTAATGATGAAAACAAAATGGTTTTGAATACAGCGAAAACACACAAGAGGATTTGGATGAAATCATGGAAGTGTGCGAGCACAGGCGTGTCAGTTGCAATGAGAATATGTAAGACTTGGGCACATTCTGCAACGAGGGATAATTTCAGTCACCTGGAACGACTGTTAAAATCACAAAAATACTAAGACTAAAGAAGTGGGCAAAAGCCACAAACAAAATGGGAAAATAACACAAACATCGTGTTCAAAAAAGGAATAAAGCAAATAAATAAACTGAAAGAAAACAGTAGACCTCGAACTCGGTGTTGCCACATGGTGTATCAAGACAAACGATCTGGACAAAGCACCAACAAAAGCAGTGCTGCCAATGTTTCTGGTATTACACAACTGAATTCAGAAGACAGTGATAACTTGTGTGATTTTAGTACATACGTAAAGGTTGCACTGCGCTATGCTCTGATTTGTTGCCCGAGGTATATTGAATTCATGCACCGGATTATACCTTACGGGAAACAAAGTCACATCGGTAAACCATTTGTTAATTACAGTTAGATATACGAACGAAAAACATACATGACATAGTTACACAAAGAATACGTACATCATTTTCAAGGTTTTAGATTTTAAAGATTTTAATTATTAAAAGCATTTGGCAACACTGTTCAGATGTCGATGTTCTGACAGGCCCGCCAAACTTTGCAGGCTTACCATAGCCTTTTTAAAATAATATCTCCTGAGGAGACATTAGAAGTTTAGATTTTAACACAAACTATCAGCACACTGCTTTACTTAAGCCGCAAAATAAATATAAAGTTTTAATAATAAATTTTAAGCTGAATTATTTTAAGCAGAATGAGAACAAAACAGCTACAGACGGGCGAGTCGCACCTTGGCACCAGAATTCGAGGTACAACATTGTAAACGAAATTAAATAATAAATAAACATATTGGGGCTTCGGGCAGAGGCTGAGTTTACCGACTGCGGAGTCACAACATCTTTCTTGTCTTCCTTTGTAACTTCTTTCTTGCCCTCTTCCTTAGGCTCGGCTTCCTTGACCCCCTCAGGGGATGTGACGTCACGTCCTTCCCAGAACTCCTCTACTTCCTCCTCCTCCGCGGCCTCCTGGGCCATCTTTTCAAAGGCATCCTCGACTGACGAGTCGGAGCTCCTAGACTGCTCCTCGAGAAGTCGGTCCATGGCTTTGGCTCGCTTAACCGGCTGCGCTGGCAACGCCTTCTCGTCCGCGGCTCTCTTGGCCTCCTCCCTCTCCTTCCGCGCTTTCTCTTCTCTCTCCTTTAGCTCCCGTTCTTCCTTCTCTTTCCTCTCCTTTTCCTCTCTCTCTCTTTTAGCTTTCTCTTCCTTTTCTTTCTCCTCTCTTTCCTTCCTTTCTTTTTCTTCCCTTTCTCTTTGAAGCCTCTCTCTCTCCTTTCTTTCCGCCTCTTCTTTCTGCTTTCGTTCTTGCTCTTCTTTCTCTTTTCTTAATTTCTCTTCCTTTTCTCTCTTCTCCTTTAGTTCTCTCTCCTCTCTTTCCTTTTTCTCTCTCTCTTCTCTTTCCTTTCGCTCTTTTTCTTCTTTCTCTTTTCTCTCTCTTTCTTCTCTTTCTTTTCGCTCTTTTTCCTCTCGCTCCCTTCTTTCTCTCTCTTCTCGCTCTTTCTTTTCCTTCTCTTCTCTTTCTTTCCTTTCCCTCTCTTCTCTTTCCTTACGTTCTCTTTCTTCCTTCTCCTTCCTTTCTCTCTCTTCCCTAGCCTTTCTCTCTAATTCCTCCCTCTCTTTTCTTTCTCTCTCTTCCTTTTCTTTTCTCTCCCTTTCTTCTCTTTCCTTTCTCTCTCTCTCTTCTCTCTCCTTCCTCTCCTTTTCTTCCCTTGCTTTTCTCTCACGTTCTTCTCTCTCTTTTCGTTCTTGTTCTTCCCTTTCCTTTTTCTCCCTCTCTATCCGTTCTCTTTCTTCTTTCTCTTTCCTTTCTCTCTCTTCTCTTTCTTTCCTCTCCCTTTCTTCCTTTTCTTTCCTTTCTCTCTCCTCTCTTTCTTTCCTTTCCCTTTCTTCTTTCTCTTTTCTTTCTCTCTCCTGCTTTTCCCTCTTTTCTTTTTCTTCTCTCTCTATCCTTTCTCTCTCCTCTCGTTCTTTCCTCTCTTTTTCTTCTTGCTCTTTCCTTTCTCTCTCTTCTCTTTCTTTCCTCTCCCTTTCTTCTCTCTCTTTCTTCTCTCTCTCTTCTCTTTCTTTTCTTTCTTTTTCTTCTCTCTCTCTCCTCTCTCTTTCTTCTCTCTCTATCCTTTCTCTTTCCTCTCTCTCTTTCCTCTCTTTTTCTTCTTTCTCTTTCCTTTCTCTCTCTTCTCTTTCTTTCCTCTCCTTCTCTTCTCTCTCTTTTCTCTCTTTTTCTTCTCTTTCTTTCCTCTCTCTTTCTTCTCTCTCTATCCTTTCTCTTTCCTCTCTCTCCTTCCTCTCTTTTTCTTCCCTCTCAATCCTTTCTCTCTCTTCTCTTTCCTTCCTCTCCTTCTCTTCTCTCTCTTTCCTTTCTCTCTCCTCCCTTTCCTTTCTTTCTTGTTCTTCTCTTTCCTTTAGAATTCTCTCTCGCTCTTCTCTTTCCTTCCTTTCTTTTTCTTCTCTCTCCTTTCGTTCCTTCTCTTCCCTCTCCTTTCTCTCTCTTTCTTCCTTTTCCTTCCGCTCTCTTTCTTCTCTTTCTTTTCTTTCTCTCTCTTCCCTCTCTCGTTCTTCCTTTTCTTTTCTAAGCCTTTCTCTCTCCTCCTCTTCTCTTTTCTCCCTCTCTTCTCTTTCTTTTTTCTCTCTTTCTAATCGTTCTTTCTCTTCTTTTTCTTTTCTTTCTTTCTCTTCTCTCTCTTTCCTTTCTTTCTCTTCTCTCTCTTTCCTTTCTTTCTCTTCTCTCTCTTTCCTTTCTTTCTCTTCTCTTTCTTTCCTTTCTCTCTCTTCTCTCTCTTTCCTTTCTCTCTCTTCTCTCTCTTTCCTTTCTCTCTCTTTCCTTTCTTTCTCTTCTCTCTCTTTCCTTTCTTTCTCTTCTCTCTCTTTTTTCTCTTTTTCTAAACGCTCTTTCTCTTCCCTTTCTTTCCTCTCTTTCTCCTCTCTTTCTTTTCTCTCTTTTTCTAAACGCTCTTTCTCTTCTCTTTCTTTCTTTTCTTTCTCTTCTCTTTCTTTTTTCTCTTTTTCTAAACGCTCTTTCTCTTCCCTTTCTTTCTCTTCTCTTTCTTTTCTCTCTCTTTCTTCCCTTTCTTTTCTTTCCCTTTCTTTCGCTTCCTTTGCCTTACGCTCTTCTTCTTCCTTTTCTCTTTGAAGTCTTTCCTTTTCTTCTCTCTCCTTCTTTTCTTTCTCTAACCTTTCCTTCTCTTCTTGTTGTTTTCTTTCCTCTTCTTCTTTTTCCTTTTGAAGCCTTTCCTCTTCTTTTTTCTTCCGAAGCTTAGCTGCCTCTTGAGCCTGTCAGACATGGCACTACATAAACTACTTGCAACTAACAAAAAGCTCAGTCACCGTGAATCCCTTCCAGCGGAGAGCTGTCTGCTGCGAGTCTGGCTATTGTGACGACGTTTGAAACCACAGATGTTTAACATTTAAGGCTTGGATAGCGAGGGCATACCAAGTGGCAGAGGGGATACTTCACACGCCAATGATGTTTCCACAGGCAAATTCCTTCCCTTATCTGGGGGAGAAACTTGCCCGCTTTGATGGAATATTATATTCTGCAGCTCCCAATAGATTGGTAGACCCTTGGCAGTGAACATTACCTTGGCTATTGTACACCTTCACTACGTAACTAGAATTCTTATTTATAGTCCGCGAGTAAATTATATTTTTTCACAAGATAGATTTATATTTTTTCTGATTATTAGAATTCAGACGTTAAAAAGTAATTATATACATTGCCATAAATATAAATTATGTATATGTATATATATATATATATATATATATATATATATATATATATATATACATTACCAAGTATATACTGCATATGCAATACATGTATATTGCAACGTAAGAATGGTTAAAAGACACACAAATACACACATTTGCATAGTTACGCTTAAATACATACAGATGTGTGAGCTCACACACATCCATACTGATACAAACTCCTGCATATTTTTTTTCAACATCAGTGATTTCTAAACGGCACAAGTATATCACAACAAACGCTTACTCCGTTGAAATCGCAGATTCACAGTGACTAGCAAGACAGATTCAAGAAAGTCTTACTAATCTTACAGGAGAAAGCTACAATCTAGATCTCTTATCACTTAAACTACAAAGTACGATGTTGTTTATGGTCTACGAGCATGATAATGAGTTTTAGTTATTTAATTTGCATTTTAGCTTTCATTTTAGATTGATCAGAGGGTTATTTTGTGTAGGTTGCATGTTACTTTCATTATGTTATTATTGTTGTCTTCGTGGTGTTGTGAGGAAAAATAAGCAAGGAAAAATAATAGGAAATGATTAGATGGAGTGGCGAGTGATTGACTTCCTTATTACCACTTGAAACTATTCTGATTATGCCTCTTTTCAACCTGAAGTGAGGCAAATCATCGTCGCAATTAATCATTTGCCAAAAGAAAGCTTTTCTTGATACCAGTGTATTGAAATAGA